CCCCCCCCCCCCAAAAAAAAAACCCAAAAAACCCAACCCAGTTTCTTCCTTGAGTGCATGCAGGAGCTAAACAATTGGGCTGTTTGACTGTGTGGATGAATGGGAGCCTGTGGGAGGTGACTGCCATGTGGAGCAGAGTTCCAGGAACTGATTTTTCACTCGCTGCTAAGAACAATCCTTGTTTTCACAGGTGAAACACTGAATGGAGCATTAAACTCCAGCTCCTCATTGAGTGCTGTTCTGTGTTAATCCATTACGGACCTGGCTCCCACCACACACAGAGCTGTTAGCTCAGCTCAGCATGGCAGGAGGCCAAAGGCCAGGACAGCCAGGCTGGTGGTTCCACCTATTTCTGAGCTGGCCTCAAATCCAAATGCAGATTCCTGTCCTGCACACACAGACCCCACTTCCATGGACAACTACATTCACTCAGGCAGGAGCATCAGGACTCCAGGCTTCCCTGATCTCACCCATGCAGCATCCATCCGCGTTTTCCTCTCTCTGGACAGACTTAATAGGGGTCCTGTTAAAGGACAAGCATCTGGCTTGATATTATCCTGAGAGTGTTAGAAATAACTGCACCTCTGACCCACTGGGTGAATGACCCAGCCCAGAGAGAGCAACTTGGGCAGAGGGAACCAACAGCTTCAGGAGGGCCAGTCAGAAATGGGACTAGCTACAAAGGGAATGTGCCCTTGACTTGCGGGTAGGGAGGCGTTGCCAGACCAGTGGAAATATGTGCAGTGAGGACAATGTCAGGAAGGTGAGCTGAGGTGTCTCACTCCCCCCAGCCAGGTCTGCCTGGGAGTTGCCTTTTTTGTTGCAGTTCATCTGAGACATCCATAACCATCACGGCTATCAGAGACATCCATATCCATCACGATTGGTGCCCAGATACTTTGGACAGGACCGCATTAGAAATACTTCTTTAGGTAGAGAAGTAAAGCTAATTCAGACCAGAGCCAGGCAAACGATCAGATATTAATAAGCCTGGCTCTGAGCATCCTTGTGCACCTTTTGTCTCATAGATCAACCAGTGTTCAGTGAGCCCAGGGCTGGATGTGCCAGCTCAGTTTTAGACCAAGAGATCTGGAGAGCACAGCATGTTGCACGCAGATGTCTCCACACT